ATTTGCAATTACTCCCCATTGTTCCTAGGTGGCTAGAAAGTGGAGAGGATACAATAGTGTGTTGCCCTCTGGGGGTAAATAAATTTGACTTAATGGTTCTTGGGGGGTCAGACTGATGATTATGTGGTGCCCAGGAATGTGGTTTTCATGCCACCTCAGAAGTTAGACAAGAACAATGGCTTAGTTGTTTGGCAGCTTTTTTTTTTTTTTTAATGAGGCAAATAAAGGTGTAAGTCTCATGGAGTCATGCACTGTGTCCACTGTTTTTGGTCAGGGAAGGGAAAGATAAGAATGACCTTTATTTCATTATTAGATGATTTCATAATGATACCTTAGAATAATTATTTGAAGAGAAGTTTTGCACATATTATTATTTATATAGCCCCTGCAATATTTACCGAGCCTTCTTGTAGATTGAAACTTTTCTCCTCTATTTAATCAGATCAGTTTTCATTTAACTTTTATTTTCTTTTCCATTGAATTTATTGGGGTGACCATGGTTAACAAAATTATACAGGTTTCAGGTGCACAACTCTACTACACATCATCTGTAGTGTGTGTTCACCACCCCAAGTCAAGTCTCCTAATTGGTTCCAGGAAAATTGTGTGAGTGTGTGTGTGTGTACGTGTGCACACATCAGCAAGCACCTATTCTGAATATCTAAGACTACAGCCAAGTGAGGTCTGAGCTCAGTTCCTAAGTGCTGGCTTCAAAGTTGTTGTGAGTGAATTACTTCCAGGGCATGTAGACAGAGAATAAAATAATAGCTTGGCGAAGTTCAAAGAAGTGTTTTTTACTTTCAAAAGAGTAAAAATGATAAACTTTTTTATTGTTAATCCTCACCCGAGGATATTTTTCCCATTGATTTTTAGAGAGAGTAGAAGGGACAGGGAGAAAGAGAGAAAGAGGAATGTGAGACAGACACATCGATTGGTTGCCTCCCATGTGGTTGCCGTCCCTGCTGAGGATTTAAACTTGCAACCTAGGTACATGTCCTTGACCGGGAATTGAGCCCTGACCCTTCAGTGCATGGGCCAATGCTATAATCACTGAGCAACACAAGCCAAGGCATAAATGACAAACTTTTAAAAATAGGAAAAATAAATAGTCTTTGGTTTGGATAGTTTTGGTATCAATAAATTGTTTTCCTACCTGTTTAAAGTCAGTCTCACTTTTTAAGAGACACTGTGAGTCAGTAAAGGTCACCACTTTTAAAAGCATAAAATTATTTTACAGGTTAGATTATTTTGCCTGTATGAATTTATACCATTTTATGGTCTGGTACTCTGGAAATGTGAAGTAATTAGATGTTGAAGTTACATTAGAAACTATCCTCCAACATGCACACGCGTGCACACACACACACACACAGCAACACTTGATCGCACACACACACACACACACACACACAGCAACACTTGATACAATTTTGCAGAACAAAACAGTTGGCCTAAAATACTCTGCAGATAGCAAGCAGTCCATCCATGTAATAAACTGACTAGCTACCTAAAGAAATTATTTATTTCTTCTTCTCAAATCAGCCATATAGTGTAAGTGGACAATTTATAGGGTTTTTCGCCCTTATTGAAAGCAAAGGCACTGAATAAAGTTTCTGTGAAGGATAAAGCAATACCTTTTATAGCCTCGTAGTTATTGGAAAGGGGAAAACACAGTGCCTGCATCCCAGTTGGCAAACAGTTGAGTCACACACTGTTTCAGCTAGCGTGACATTCCATTACACTGAAGGTCACTGCATTGGCACTTCACCTGAGGACAGTATCGGGGACCCACGGTGGCTCTGATTATTCTGAACAGATCATTTGTTCTCAGTCAAACCATTGCAACTTTTGTATTTTATTGACTTAAATTTATTTGTAGAATTATAACAGAAAATATCTGCATGTAAAATTCCCTCAAATAGCATCTCTATCTCGGTGAGGTTTTTAAAAGAAGGGCATTGTTTGGGAGGTTTTCTGGCTAGGTCACTCAGAAATGCCCAGATCGGTTTCTCCACCTGCCTTCTTTGAAGAATTCTTTAGAACCTGGTTTCTTTCCCATTGGTGTCCCTGGTGGACCTTTCTCACCCTGCTCAAAAGGCATTCATCTAGGCAGGCAAAGTGTGGTATCTGGTGTTAAAGAAAATGCCAACTAAAGTTAGTACAGTAAAAAAAAAAAAAAAAATGGCTCTTTTTGAAAGCTATAATTTTGTTCTTTCTAGAAGTTGGGACATAAAGGCAAAAACCAAATAGCTCTATAATGCCAGTAATGGATTCGAGGAAATAATCCATTCAGCAATACTATGGCCTTTCAGGTCTTGCGAACTAAAGACGTCCTATGTGGATTGAACATGTGGATTAAAGTAGATCCCCTCTTAGGTGACATAACATTCTGAGATAAAAAGAGATTGTTGATTCAGTATGTGGCCTGAAAGAGATAATTCTGTTTAAATAACATTAGACCATTTGAAAACAAGCAGCCTGGGGATAAGAATCAGATCCCAAGTAATAAATCCGAGGGGGTTCTGCCTTCCGCTCTTGTTGGATAGGAGCGCCACTGAAAGGAGCATTTGCTGTAAATTTAGACTCTCTCCCGTTAGTCTATTTATTCACTATATTTTTCAGTTCATTCAACGAATTCTGCTATCCAGTTGGATTTGAGTTTTATTGATTTATAGATTGGTTATCTCTTTCTTTAAATGCAAAGTCTATTAAGCAGACATTCTTGTCTGGCTTGTTTGTACAGTGTAGCACTCCAGCACCTAAATGGCTGTGAGGCATATAGGAGGAACTCTGTGGATATTTGCTGAATGGATTAAAGAAGAGAGCCAGCCATTTGATGTAGTTCTCAGTTGGGGATGATTTTGCTCCATTGGGGGAATTTGGCAATGTCTGGAGACATTTTTGGGGTGTTATAACTAGGTGGGAGTAGTACCAGCACTTAGCCAGAGACACTAAATGCAGATATCCATAAAAAGAATTGTATGGCCCAAAATATCAGTGTCCAGATTGGGAAACCCTGATCTATGTGAAGAGTTTCCCAAGGGAAACAATTGGAGTACAAAAGCCTTAAGGTGGGAGCATATTGGTTATAGAGAAACTCAAAGAAGGCCATGTGACTGAAATATTTTTGCAGAAGAGAAAGTGGGAGGTGATGA